CCGAGTGCGATAAAAAAAGGAGATAGAGAAAGAAAAAAAACGAAAAAAAGCAGCCCAAATATAAGATTCGTGATCACTGTTCCGCATTTTGGCATTCTCACTAGTGTGCACTTTATTCACTTTATTTATAATTAATGAATTCACATTTATATGCATCGCTTGAGAATCATTATAAATACGCCATTTATGATTCATGTTATAGTTTCTTTCGTTGGTGCTCGTTACTTCTCTCTCTCTCTCCCTCTCTCTCTCTCTCTCTCTCTCTCTCTTTCTCTCTCTCTCGGGTGTCTTCCTATTTTTCATTTTAAATATATGTCGCTGCTGAATTGTTGATATGTGGTGAGCGTGTGTTTCGGGTCGAGCACATTTCTTCTCTGTTTGCCTTCGAACTACTGATATTTCTCTGAAACTTTTCAATCTTAATAACCCATTTTCATCCAGCAATATTCCATTGGTGGTGAGCTGCATTGAAATGCCCATATCGTAAGAATGAGAAATTGTTTTCGCTGCAAATACTTCACTCTTATTTAACACTTCATTCATTTACCGTCGTTTTGTAATGCACACAATATTATTTCTCAGCGTACACACGCAATTTATTTGAATTTTGCTGGAATTGCGTACAATCAGTGATATTTGTTTCTATTTGCATGTGCTAACATTATGTGCGTCATTTGTTCTTTTCCAGCTGTTGTATCGTAACAGGGTTAATTCGGAGCACACATTGTCTACTTGTGCTGGAATTTTAACTAAAAAATTCATTGAGTGATGAAGTTTTCCAGTTCGAATAAGAAACGGCCCGCGTACACATGATAAAATAATGTAGAGCTTTCCTCTCATTCATCTATCTCTCTCTTGATCTTACTCGATACTAATAGAAATATTTATTATCCTGTCACAATTTTCAGCAGACTACAAATGGTTTGTGCTCTATGTGTGAGTTGAGCATCTTCACTGAAGATGAATGCATGAGTTTAATAAAATATACCATATGATTTGTATCGTTCCATTTTGTTTATTTCGCCTCTTTTCTCCATTTCAATCCAATTGAGTGCGTTAGTTCAATAAATATTAAATTAGAAAAGAGCAATTTCATTGTTCGTAGCCAGCGTTTGATTTAGATGATACTCAATTCGAGACAGTAAATAAAATGAAACCGAAATTGTTACCAAATGGGTATTATATACATATATGCGGACTCAACCCTTTGATTTATTCGATGGGAATTGCACAACAATGGACAAAATATTACCCCTATCTACAATGATACAGCTCTTCGTCATTTTTGTAATAATGTTTGGCCAAAATTTGATTAGAAATCAGTTTTGTCGGAATTTTTCTATATGGAACGCACACAATAGAATGCAATAACATTACAGCCATAACGAACGTGGGCTAATGTATGTACATAATATTGAAGGCTGTCATATTTGATATGATTACATGATGATGCCTTTGATGTTTTGACTTTTTTGGTGAGATACGTTTTTTGTCTCCACTGTGAAATGCATCGTCATCGTTGGAAAACACCAAGTGTGCACCAAATGTACCATTTCCATTTACTTAATATTCATTTCAAAATTAAATAAAACATCAATATTTCTATTCGACATTCCTTTTTTTGTCTTATATTCATTTTTTCCGTTGCCATTTCATCCAACATAAAAACGAAATGTAAACAAAGAAGCGCCGTCGTTGTCGTCATTGAAAAGAGACGAAAACTTATAATAATACAGAGAATACACGGAGAAAGAGAAAAAGAGAAAGAGAGAAAGAGAGAGAGAGAGAGTACATATTCAAACAAAAATTACGAAAGAAAAAGCCAAATGCTACATGCAAAAACGCCATCACGTTATGCTGTATGTGTCGTTGTCTCGCCCTCAAAATGACTGTCTGCATATGATATATAGTACATGGGAGCAAATAGTCCTCATTTGATAGCGCATTCTTTTTATTGCCATTACACATCCAAAACCATTATATGAAACCCGCAAATTTTACATTTTTGCTCATACTTTTTTTCTATTATGATTATTGTTATTACGGCTGCTACATATGTGCTTTGTCTATGTCAGCATCATATTTGGTTATATACATTAGCATGTGCCTTTCTATGTCTCAAACAACGTATTTTCGTATGAGCATACGGTACCGATTTTGTTTCCATTCATATTTTTCTCGTTTTCTTCTTTCATATCAAAAATGGTTTTCCACACTCATCGCGTCGATGATATACACCATTTGAAGAAAATTCGAACAAATGAAGTGCGTTTTAGTGCTTTTTCTTGACAATATAAAAGAGACAAAAATTCTCATCAAATTCATCTTACGCAAAATGTGCATTGAATTGTGTATATATTTCATTTGTATTCAATGACTATAATTTTCATATTCACATATAATTTTTCTTGTTCTTGTCTCTCAATTCTTAAAAGGAACAAGTCAGCAACAATATTTCTCTCCCCATTTGAGAAAACGTGGGTGCCATACATTTTGAAATTGATATCCCGAACAAATTTTTCAAACGAAAATTATTTACTAACCAAATGACATGAATTCAACAAACATTGAAAACATCTTGAGTTTGCTTGCATAAACATCTTGAGTTTGCTTGCATCAAGTGTCCCAGTTTTGCGTATCTGTGCTATGCACACACATGTTTAATATAATTATCAAAGACATGCTTGAGAAACCATAATAAACGCGACAACACGAATAAAACCCGTTGTCCTTAGCATAAATTGAGGCAACGCTCCTATATGACTCATCATCATTGTCGGTGGTGACAGCAAAGTTGTCCCAATGTTTGCATAGCTTATAGAGAAGACCAGCACAAACGAATTTCGAACACATGCAAGGAAAAACGAGGTCTCCAATATACATAATGGAAATCGATCCCGATTTTTTTATGTTCGACAAAAACCCATTAAATGTAGCTCACAAAAGGATGATACTTTGTACTTGTTTGTGTCGCACACAGCGATGTGCGGCTGCTGATTCAATTTACCGTAACATACGTCAAACATTTTTATCCAAGCCTTTGTTTTCTTCCTTCTTTTACCTCGTCATTTGTGATTTAGTTTTTTTTACATTTTTTTCCATCATTTTAACTCTATGAAATCGAATCGGATTTTGTTTACATTTCACCAGGAAAATTTAAATCTATTTTCACCTTTTTGTTCTATGTAAATTGCTATTTGCTCATTTTTTTCTTTATAGTTGTCGCTTCTGTTGTGGCTGTTTTTTTTTTTTGCAAAATTGAACTTATTAAGCACATCGGCAAAGTTAATATTCATGAAAATGCTGCAATCGGGTTTTCTAGAACCCAATTAATTCGAGTTGCCAACATCAACAACAGCCACTTAAGCTTTTTTGCTTTGCAAAAGTACAAAAATACCAAATATAAAGAATCCGGATCTTTTTTTGCATCGGCTTTGAACCCAAAAATTAAATATTTCAAACAAATTAAATGCTTTTAATTTAAGACGTTAAACCATATTTCACGAATAAATGTAGAAATGAAATTGGTAGAGTACGTTTCGTTCTGCTGTAAATTACTTGCAAATTGGTTTTTATGTCATTTGCTACTTGGAAAATGTGTTCTTTAAAATATGGTGAACTTACATCATTGAAAAATATACATACACGAAGAGCGCATATTTTAAGCTGTTCCAACTAAAAACATTTCCATCAAACATCAAGTCGTTTCGTTGAAAATGTTTTATAAAAGACCACATGATTTTAATTGATTTAAAAGGGACCTTGTGAAAACTAACAAAGCATGCACTTTTTTTTTCATATTGTCGCCGTTTCATCTTCGTATTGCGTGTTTTCAAACTGTAAGGTCTTTTCGTACGTGTTCAGACAATATAATGTTTCTGTTTCAAAATTAAATTCAAATTAATATGAATTTGTAAGCAGATTATTAACGACAAAGAGGGGAAGAAAAAACACACATTGCAAATTGTGGCCTATTTTGTTGGTGCTCTTTCTCACTTTCTCTCTCTCTCTGGGTGTGTGTGTGTGGCTGCTAATCTTGTGCTTTCACATACCACGGGAAATCGAATGAGTTGCTATTCTCTCCGGTTCTTGTGGTATCATCACTTTCACCACTTTGTATCCAGCACACACACATACAAATGCTTTCCAACCGTACCGAATGCATCATGAAACAGCGATTCTAATAACATTCACACCTTGTACCAAGTGAGTGTGTTTCGCCAAATCCATTGCCACACATAGACACAAACACTCTTTTATACAGATACACCGGATTTTCTCATCGGTATACGTTTTTCGTAAATATGCATGCAATAAATGATCATTTGCCGTTTTAGTGCTGGAATATGCAATGGGATTGCATACGGTTGCATAAATTTGCTATGATTGTGTGGTAACGGTTTGCCATTCGATGTGTCAAATATTTTGGAGCGTACAGATGCAATTAAACGAGAAAACTTAAACATGAAGAAGAAAAGAAAATAACAACACAGCCATTTGCTGCTGGTGGCAATATGCTGTTATGCAATTCAATGTTAATGGTGTTGTTTCACACGCATTCTCAAAATTCACTATAATGTCCTATTGCAAAAGCAGCAAACAAAACTTCTGTGCTCAGAGAATATAAACAACAACCACGTCATCGTTATAAATTCAAAGTACCACGTTTCTTAAGTGCCACATGCAAGATATATTCAAAATGCAAACACAGTAGAGAGATTCAGAATGAGACATTAATCAGATGAAAAGAATATTGCATCGGCTTCATCCATATTAAACATTTTTTTTTTTGTTTTCAGTGAAGGAAACAAGTGTTGAAAAAACTTCATCTTATCCTCGCTCCGTTTTCTATAAATCAGAGGTTGAAATATATATTCCATATAATAATTTATGTCGATGATTCAATAGTTTTATGTAAATTGAACTCAGCTTTAAAGATAACCAGATTTTCATCGTCGAGTTATTCTCATATATATTATATATCTCTAAGTTCTACATACCTTCTGATTTATTAGCTTGTGCAGCGGACGGTAGATGATGGTTTTGGTCGGTGTTCGTCTCATCTAGATACATGTACAATTATAGTTTTACGTTTAATTGTGCATCGATTGAGCAGAATTTTGTTATTGAATCCATAATGACAGAGTGGTAAACACACACACACACCGTGTATTAAAGTGGATGGTATGATTTATGTTTAGTATAGGAAATGTAAATGAATGTATCATTTCGATAAGTGATGAACATTGTTGAGTTTTCGGTTTCGAAAGGGAAAAAAACAAATTCAATGAAGAATTTCAATTGAGAGTTTGTTGTGTGCGTAATTAAGTTTTATTGTATCGAATTGCGTTCTTTAGACTTTGGTCCTAGAAATAACATGCTTAATCCAAATAACTTTTGCGTTGGCAATTGAAATGCCGATCTAAAACTAAGCAGCAACAAAAAAAAGTCGAAAAACTTTTTTAATTAGAAATTTGATAGGCAGCATGTGCCACCATTATTTTCTTTGACGTCTTCGTTACTTTTGGCTGATGATTCCTTACTTTGCACATACTTTTATGTTTTTGATTTGATGACTGATCGCGAAAGCACAAATATTCTTATATGTGTACCAATGGGATTAAACCAGTTGGTTTTTTTCTCTCTCTTTTTTCATGAAAATCATTGATTTTTAATATTAAAAACAAACAATGTCGAAATCAGGTTTAAGCAATCAAAAACATCATGATAAATGGCATAAGAAAGCCAATTGTTTATTTGGTGTTTTCCATATTATCATAGAGTAGCATAGAATGAAGAAAGACATAATCGCATGAAGGAAAAAAAATATTAATCATTTTGTTTTAACTCCGATTTACGGCTCGGATTGGTCGATTTGGTTTGTTTATCAGTTTCGAATGCTGCCAGGCAAAAAGAAGATAGATAAAGCTACAAATTCTATTATAGATATATTACCACGGTGTGTCAAAACCGACAGCAGAATACAACTATATTATGACGAAGCGACTATGTTACTACTTGGATTGTGGGGAAGTTTTTTTTCTTGCTTCTGTTTTTGTTCTCGTTTCCTTGCCATCAACTTCGATTTACTTTTATTGGTCAAAGCGTTTTGAGAAGGGTAGCCTATAACAAAGCCATTACACACTTATCGTTTTACCGAAAACACAACAATACTGGATTATATATGAATCCGACAATTCACTAGTTATCATAAAATCGGTTAAGGTTAAAATGATAGATATTTGCGTGAAAATACATATTAATCTTCAAGACACTGTTTCGAATAAAACAATGAAATATTTGTCGTCTGCATGAAAGGGAATCGCCTGTTTGAGCGATATAAGAATGGCTTTTAATGTCCGGCCCATTTGAGCTAAGTGGCGCCGTTGCGTAGCAAATACGAAACCGAATTTATTGCCTATCACAAAGGGTTGTGCGATTGAAGTTTTTGAGTTTCGTATGAAAATGGTGAAAAGTTTTTGGGTTTTTGATGCGGTTCATTATTTTAAAATGAGCTCGAAAATTGAATAAATGAAACGGAAGGAAGCGAAAAATGAGCGGTGGAGTGAATGCGAATCTGTGCAACAGATGCAAAAATATAGGTTATATGGAAAAACTTTTCGTTTTCAATCGAGTAAACGAACCAACAAGTTTTTGAATGAAGCCAATTGTTTCACTGTTTTCTTATTCAACAAAGAATTATGAATTTTCCACACGCAGAGCGCGTCCACATTCACTCGCATCGGGTATTCGTTTGTCGTTCCTGGTTAAATATTTACACACATTTTTCGATTTATCGTTATTATATGATCCAATTTATCGGTTTGAACGGTGAAATATGATCATTGGATTTTACTTTGATATATGAAGACTAACGCGTCTAAACACATTCCCTGCTTTTGTTTTGTATTGTGATGCGCTCTGTGAGTGCCCGAACTTCGTGCTTTGTTAAATTATAGGATACCATACACATGAAATATAATACAAAGTCGCGCGAATTTATAAGGGTATAAATATACACAACTTTTCGGTTGGTCAAATTATCTAATTCGGTGCGCATAATATGTGATTATTTTGGCTCCCGTGCAGTAGTTGATTGATCATGTTTGTTAAATGGGTATATTCGAAAGAATACGAACACATTTAACATCACCATAATTTGCGTAAATCAGGTGAGACAGGTGGGTATGTTACACACCATTGTGCATGTATATATTATACCTTACTATTATATTATTGTGTGAACTAAACAACGGGCCCAGGGTTTACTCTCATATTTATTATGCGTGTATGCATAGTTTAATTGAATAAGCCAGAATAAAACTCCGACTTGAAATAAAAATCTATAAAAATGGAACAAAGTTTTCATTCTGACCCAATCAATTTATGTACAAGAACAATTTGTGCGACCGCATTCATAGCCACTTTCAGAACGCAAATAAAATTGAATTATTTTCGAGTTTCATCGAATAAATGTTCGGCTTTGAAATAAACAGTGTTATTATTACGCATATATTTTGTTTGCGAATCATATTTTATGCTCATTCATATGCATTTTCACAGTTTCTTTTAACTGACGATGCGTTTATTTGATATCCCATATTTATTTCTATTTAGCACGATTATCGCAATGCTTTTGTCATGGGTCACGTACACATGAATGGAGCTCGGACACGGAATCAACATTAATATCTTATTCACACGCACTGCTCATATAGCATCATCATAAATTGTCAAAATGACGTGTTTGCTGTTCCGTCAACCTCTTTTCTTTTTCATATTTTTCCCAGCAATGTTCTTTTTCCAGCATTTTCCATTCACACAATAATGTCGAGTCTTTTTCTCTTGAATCTGTGACGAACTGTGAAAAAAATGTTCTGATTTTTTTTTCATAACCATTTGAATAGAATCGAAGCAATGCTTCAGAATTTAAGAATTTTGATTTTTTTTCGTTTTTCGTCATGTGAAATAGTCAAAAGACTCACACCGAAAAACAGACAGGCAAAAACAACCCACACACAAAAAAAAACTTCAACTGAAAATTGTCGAGATGATTCGCTCCTTCTATTTGATCTCTTTATTATATGGATAATGGATTTTTCGTTCGCAACACACACACACGCACAAAATATTCATTGAATGAATCTTTTCCAAAAGGGAAAGCAAAAAGTAATTCAATTTTTATGATTACGGTTATGCCTGCTTTATGGGAAGTTTATGTCAATCAGTTAACGTGTTTCTGCTACGGCTTACGTTGCTCTCGTTTCGAACGAAAATTCTTTTGCCACAATATTCCATTGTAAAAAAATTCCTGATGCATTTGGGTTTTATTTTTTTCATTTCGACGATGGTGAAAGTGAACGCAGAGAAATAGAGAGAGAGAGAGAAGAAAATTATGCAAAAAGCAGCAGAGGGTCATGAGAAGATTCAATTTTTACGGCTATTTATTTCGGGAAATTGTAATCGTTCTATTTATTATGTCATCAGATGAATGCCAACCATCCATGGAAGAAAGTCATCCACTGTATGACACACCACCGCCCACAATTGAAATATCAATATTTTCACTTTCGCAAACTTTTTTTTTCTGTGTGTGTGTGTCGATCTTCAATGTGGGTAAAATAACTGAAAATAAATTTAATTCGAATTGAAATGCGATGGGATGGAATCAATTCAACAAAAATTTTCCGACAAAATATAACAATTTCAAAATTATTTCGGGTCCAATTACTTTATCAGACGTAATTTCCAAAAAAGAAATGTTAGGGAAAAGGTAATGCGTGTCAGTCGAAAATCGATGGAATGAAAGAAAAATGTGAAATACTTATAAAAACTGATTCGACTCTCATCATGCGAAAAGTATGCCACAAGCAAATGTATTACAACACTCTAACCACACCAAGTATGAGAAATATCCAGAAAAAGCTGGAATTATCAGTGACTATGCAAATATTGAGAGAAAATTTTAGCACCTGTGCAGAAAAAAATGGCATGAGTTGCTCGAATGCAGATAATATCGATGGCAAACAATTTTCTTCTACATAGTTTTTTTTTAGTTCAAGTTCATTTGAAATGTTTGAGTCGTTCAAAGCGAGCAAGACATTGAATTATATGCAGACATATTTACATATTCATTGGAACAAAATTTTGTGAGGTAAATGCAGCCATTCTACCACACACATTGTCCAAATGCCATACCATTTCAGGCATTAGATTGAACGAAAATACGAACAGAGAGTATAATTTTAAGGTAAAAAATGCAAGCATCTGCATAAGATTCGATTTGAATATACACATATTGCAACAACAATGTTAATAATCCAATCGAATCTTCGATAACTGCATACGAAAGTATGAAGTAAACCGAAAAATATGTAAGAAATGTTGATCGGAGTAGCATGCAGTAGAAAAGTTTTTCCATTGTATGCTGAAGTTGAGTTGAGTTTTTCTTATTATTCTACATTATGAGTCACACTTCTGGTCTTGAAAACGAAAACGAGTACCTCTCAAGCTCAATTCGAGGGAATTCGGTGTTAAATTTATACTGTGCTTGTAGGAATATATGCTTAAGTTATGATCATAATAGTACACAAGTTCAAGTGAGAAAAAAAACCACTTCAAACATTTAAACAAACAAATAGAAATACATTTACTTGAATTGAAATAAAAACAAGTTTGGTTAAAAAGGAAATTAACACTAAAGACCAAGAAACAGGACACTCATCAAACGGCACGATTTTCCAAACCAAATAAAGTCCCATGGCACAAACACATACACACATAAAAAAACATCCCAACAAACTTAACAGCAAACCAAGAAAAAAAAAATACAACATCAACAACAGACAATATATTGAACTAAACAATCAGTCAGTTGAACAAAACAATCTAATCCATTAAAACAAGAGAAGTGATTCATCATTAAAACAATAACGTCTATTGTTTTATCCCATTTAGCTGGCTAACGTACTGTCAGCTCAACTGACCAGTTAGTTCAATATATTGTCTGAATTCAACAAAAAACCGAATGAAAACAAGTTAAGTGAAATTGAAAATTGAAGAAAATTAACACTAACGAAAGTAACAACAAAAAATTTAAAAAGAAATGAGAAACAATAAAATGAAAAAGAAAAGAAGAAAAAAAAACCAAAAACGTACCTCGTTGTTCAACGTTTTTTACTTCGGCCGTAGGTGGAAACACCTCAATTTCTGCAAATAAAAAGATCCAAGCAAATGTGTGTAATTTGGCCAAACAGACGGTATATGTGTGTTTCGTTTTTTTCCGGTTATGTTTTCATTTTGCACTACACTAGCAACAACCGAATATCGACTGCGAACAACTTTGCGAGAGAGAAAACGAAAACGAAGAAGAAAAAAAAACAACATCGAAAAGTATGGCGCCCCGAATGGCGAAACGCGATTTTAATTCTTGACAAAGAATGTGCTGTTTTCAATTTCATTTGAATTGAACTATAGAAATGGGTTATTCGCCCAAATTTTCGGGTCTGCACCGTCAATATTGCTGCATTTTCTTTTAATAATTGTTATTTATACGATGCAAGTAAACGAAAATATAAAAAAAATAAATAAACACTTGACTTACGTTTTCCATAGCCCAAATCGGATTTGTTGGCCGGTATATTGCCATTTGGTTCTAATCTATCGAGATATTCTTCCGAATTGTATCCATTAAATGGTACTTCATTGCTATGACCGCTTCGATGTTGATGCCACGACTGTTTCCATATTCGTTTCGATGATGATGAGTGATTATAATGATTTATTTGATGTTGATGATGGTTTGAATCCTCACCATCTTCTCGTGATATCGCTGCAAATTAAAAATAGAGAGAAAGAAAATATTTTATTAATAAAAATTAAATTTGTGCACCGCTGACGGCGGTTTTTGATATTTAAATAACCAACGTTGCCGTTTTTTTGTTTCTGTATATCTCTTCCATTTTCACTCTTCTCTACAATTCATTTTTATTCTAAAATGGTACATGCACGTGTTCTCTGTGAAGCCTTTAACTGTTTTATTGAGCGTTAATGTATGGTGTCCCTTTTAATTTGAAATGCAAATTTTTTAACTTTTTTTTTTGAATGACCTGCGAATCAGTTTTGAACGCCAAAACATGTTTACATATGAAATTTAGAGGTGGGAGAAAAATAACAGTAAAAATGCTGAATTTTGTGAAAACATGTGGTGAATGTGCTCTGTGCATAATTAAATCAAGGCGAATTTTATAGTCGATCATTAAATGGCCCCGTCCAAAAGAATGTCAAATGTGTACAACCGGAAATGACACCGTGTATGCAAATACACGTCCATTTTATATACATATATATATATTGATTAGGGCAAAATTCATTGGTTTGGACACTTTTTCACCAACACACATACACACACATGATTGCAATCAATTACTTTCATAGACCACACATGTTTTTGAACCCTTTTTATTTATACGAAAATGCAGACGAAATCTCTTATCTGTAAATCAGAATCGGTTTGGATGGTAGTTTTTAATATGCAGGGGTAATCTAGAGCATTGTTGCATCGAATTCATTTGGAATTTGAATATATTTATTATTTTCATTAAAATTGAATGTTGACTGCTGAATTTGACTCAAATACTATTGAAATATAAGATATTGCTCATCTTCTAGCTCCATGAAAATGTACAAACCCTTTCGTTTGCATTTTCGTTTTAACCAAACATAATAAATATTTTATTTTGGCCATTGTGTGTCTGTGTGAGAAAGAGAGAGAGAGAGAGAGAGAGAGAGCTTTGTGCAGTTATTTTTATCGTGTGAGAAAGAGTGACATTTTGCTATATGTTCATTGCATCTGAAATGTTGCGACACGGTGCTATGACATCTCTCTACTATCTCTTTCGACATATCTGTGTCTGTCTCTCGTGTGCACGCCACTTTATTTAACGACCGGCATCACAAGATGAATGGGGGGACCAACCAATCGCAAGCACGTCCTAATCAAGACCGAATAAATCATCTAAAACATTACACACAATATCAAATTTATGGTAATTCTAATGAATTTCATTTCGAATGTATAGCATCACCGATATTACAATGCATTTGCATATTTATAAGCATGCGGCAAACCAGATGAGAATGGGTCGGTAAAAAAGAGACATGCATTTAAAATGCGTGCACCATACACCGTACGTCACCGGCTAGCATAATCTTAAGCGTGACACAGCAGCTCTCAAAAATGAAACGGGAAACACAAGCATATATAGCGCAAATTATGAATTTCCCCTTGGATTGAAATCTTCGATGGCACCAACCAAGACGAAATGAAGTATATGTAGAATGGAGACGTCGTCAAAAGCATCGAAATAAATTCAGCGATGCGATGCGATGTGTTTAGTATAATAAGAAAATGCAATACCGCAACGCGGTAACATTGGTCGTATTTATATAATTTATTTTGTAAATTTAATTTAACCACTGTGTCACTTTGACTATTTTTTTTGTTTCTCTTTTCCAAATAAAGCTGAGAAAATGCATGCCCCGAATACTTTTTGAATTGCACGGTTAGAGAGTCGATGTTCGTATCTTCTGCATCGAGTTTGTTGACACGAGGTTTTGCATATTTAATCTGCATTGTACATCAAACATCGATTCAGTGTGATGATGATCATCCTTACTACTGTCACAACATATTTTATAGCCATTCCTTGAATCACAACCAACCCAAACTGTATACGCCACTACAAAGCTTACTTTTATTATAGTCCAATATAAAGCAATATAATTTTGGCATAAAATGCAACGTGCGAAAGTCGATGGTCGACTTAAATTTGCCGCATACAAGTTATCGGACATAATGTTGTATGCGTGTACTTTATAGCGGATGCGAATTGAATCCATTGCCATTGGACTGGTTTGATAGCACGAAAGAAAAAAAAAGGTTCGACCGAATAAACAAGAAAATAAAATACACATAGAGTACGAGTGAAAGGGAAAGAAAAGCATGATGTGGCTAGCTTAGTGGTGGTGGTGAAATGGAGCAAAATTTATGATCGCTATGTGCATGATGTTATTCACTGCGACCATTTCATTGCATAGTGCATGTGTCAAGCCACTCGAAACACATGAATGTCGGATATTATTCAATTTCATTTGGTTTCCGTGCTCCATTAGTCGCTTTTGAACTAAATACGAACGCCTTCATTCTCATCGTCTATATTTTTCGATTGCATGCACGAGACACAAACTCATATAGACACAGTTAAAGCGAAAACAAAACACATATACCTTTTAGAGAGAAAGAAAGTACGAAAAATAATCGAAAAGAAATGCCAATAGAAATATCCGTCCCATCGGAATCCAGTCAAATTGAGAAGAAGAAGAAACCGAATGGATGATGTTCGTTAAAGTGGTTCGATCCATATAATTTACTGCAATTCCTTATTGGACTATATTTTGTCCATTGAATGGCAGCACAGACACATCATAACTGATTGAATTGCACCAATGGTAATGGAAATTGTCGAATTGGTTAAAAAGCTCATTCTATAGCCGCTTGATTATGGTCTATGAAAATTGAATTCAATCATTGAACAAATGAACGAATCGAAACGACAGGTTTGTCAATATGATTAAATGAATCATTATATTGAATTGTTCCAACCAAAATTATGGTTCACAAATCGAATCGGTATGATATAATTATGGTTTTTGCTAATAACCAAGCAGCGCAAATAATCGATCAAATTAGTAGTTCTCTGAAAAGATTCAATGTTGATTTTTAGTTTTTGTATTTATGTAGTGTGTGTACAAATGGAAATGCATTGTTAAAAAGTTAAATTGGCTTCATTGATTATTGAATGATTGTGCGTGTGCATAATTGTAGTAAAATGTATGTAAATTTTTAAATGAAAGTCCTCAGAGAATTCAGTTTTATATGCAATAGTTGTTCAACCACTCATTGATTTCAATCAGGGTGGTGCTGGTGCGAAAAAAAGGAGAAATAAATTGGGTCAAAATGAACGATAGCTTAAAAGCTTTGTTCCAAAGTTAATTTTTCCATTAGGTAATTTAAACTTGAAGATGTACTTCTCAATATCCTAAAAATGGAAGTCATACATAAATAATGTTCATAAATCATAAATTTTAAATGTTCTATTATATTATGCAAATCTTGTATGGAATATATAATGTTTGATTTGCTTTCTGACAAATTTAATTTTACTTTCAGCAAAATCGATAAAAAAATGTCCGACATCTCTTTATCTCGTTCTCAATTTCAATAAATATCAAAAATCCGCATTCACCATTTATATTTGTGAGTTATAAATTTGAATATGTTCATTCAAATGTGAATGAAAAAAATAGAGTTCACGAAAAATTCGAATAGATAAAAGTTGATCGGTCTTAATGTATTCATCGCAGAGCTCGTACAATTTTATCGAGAGTAAATTTTGAAGAAAAGAAAAGTATAAAAATATATTTTATAAAATGCCAATATGAAATGGTTGCATTCTCAACTATTTGCAAATGTGAATATGCGGTTTTCAGTCATTAATTAGTGACAGTGACGCTATCGTTTCTCACGAGATTTTCGTATTCCATATGAATGGTATTTCGTTGGCTAATGTATACAAATATCCATCCCACAGGCGAACAAACTTTATCGTTTACCATTCGATTTTATGAATGGAACGTGTTTGGTAGCACCATATCATCCATGTTAAAGTGCAAAAGCACTCACCGATGAAGTACAAAAACACACACACACATGTGAGAGAGAGAGACAATGTTATTGGATGCCAATGCACGATTTTACATGCAGAATGCGAAAGGTAGCACTTAATGGTAATATTTTGATAAGCGCGTTGTATTTACGCGAGCTCATTCGCTAACTTCGTTGAAGATAAACATGTGCATTTTTATGCGGTAACATTAGTGGCAAAGGTATGACTATGTTTTATCGAAATGTGTACCATCACAGTACACACATTCACTCAACTTTAACACCACGAACTGTGTCAATTAAACGAAAAGTGTATGTATATATGTCAGATTCATGCCAGAGAACATGTGAGAAGAGTCTCGTCCGGACGTTTCTCAATTTTAATTAAAATGTATTGACCCAATTAAATAATGGCATATGTTTCTGGTGTGTACGTTATTCCGTTTCCAAAAAGCGGTTATATAATCATTATAATCATCTTAGGGTAACAAATTAATGACAATGAGGTTGCCAATTAATTATTTCACATGAAATGCATCATTTTAAATTGAAATTTTATTCATATATTTTTGAATGTAAAATTTTAACATTTCTGATAAGTAAATATCCTTAAACAAACACTCTTGTAACACTCGGTGAATGCTAAAATTTATGCCGCGATATTTTTGATTAACGGCCTTAATAGTTTTGTAATTTTAGTTATGTAAATGAAAACGGTCCGACGCCCGTGTTAAACAACAAATTCCAACTGTTTACGAACATTTTTCCAGCCAAATAACAAATGCAATTTTACGAAAACCATTGCATCCTTTTGGATAAATTGCTTACGCTCGGTCGAAATTGTATATAAAGTTTAAGACTATTTTGAAGATGATCCATTAAAAATTGTTGCTATAAAATAAAGTCACATAAAATTGAAGTAACTTTGTTTAAAATGCACTACACTTGCACTTTATGCACAACACTTTTTTTCTTATTCGTTTCTTCTGCATCGTTTCTCTTCAGTTTTGTAGTTATAATACAAAAAAGGCTACAATTTCATCGAAAGATCGTAAAAGTCGAAGTTTGGGTATAAGATACGCGTGAACAAGTGCACACTAACTTCA